GGGCAGGATTATAAGAGTTAGCTACCCTGAAGAAGAGCCTTTCCTGTTGTTGAAGGTAGTCTTAGCCCCCAGCAACAGCCTTGTCCAAACCTAAGGTACCCCATACCCAATTCACCTCCTTCTTAAATTGTAACCTATACGAGCTTTGTCCTTTGGTTCCCTTGGGGAATCTCTGCTGGGGTAGGTGGGGCTCCCTTGCTGGCAAACTCAATAAATACTAGTTAGTTCCTAAATTTATGCTATCAGGTTTGGGTTATGGTTTTGACTTGGGGTTTTGGTTCTGGTTTGTGGCAGCGCCAACAATTTTACCCACAGCACGTAAAGTCATCCAAACCCTTTCCCATAGCTAGTATTCAAGGAGACACTTCTTAAACCTAACACAAATTTCACAAGTACATGATAGGGGAGGCTAGACCGTTCATCTGAAAAAAGATGGGGGTGGGAGTTGATTGCAAGCTCAATATGAGTCAATAGTATGATATGGCAGCCCATAGAGCTAGTGTGATCTGAGGCACAATGTTTCAGAATAAGGAGGTAGTAATTGTATTGTTCTCTCATCTTATGAGACCACATATGAAGTTTTAGATAGAAGGAACTATAGATAACAATAATTTAGGAAGGACATTGATCAACTGGAGGGGTTCCAGAATGAGGTCAGCCAGGATGGTGCCACAAGAAGACCAGGTGAAGGAGCACCAGGCATTTTTAGTCTGGAGCACAGAAGATTTAAGGTAGACAAGACTACCTTCAAGTATTTGAAGGACTGTTATTAGAACTAGGAATTAGACTAATTGGGGAAGAGTAGTGGATAGGAGTTTAAAAAAAGACAAATTTAAACTTGATGTCATCCTAACCATTAGAATTATTCAGGAAAAAAAAGTGGGAGCCCCAGGCATCAGCTGATTCCTCTCAAGGGGACATTTTCCTGGAAAAACTGAATGACCACCTGCTGGCTGTGTGATAGCATTGATTCTTCTTTAGTGGCTTGTTGGACTACATGGCTTCAGAGGCCTCCTTCTGACTGTTATGTCTGTAATTCTGGGAATGTTATTTGATTTTTTTTTTTGTTTTGGGGTTTTTTGGAGACTAGTTTTCCCTATGTCACATAGGCTGGAAGTGCACTGACCACTCAACCAGCCCAATCCCTCAGGTGATTGGCATAGCAGCTTTGGCTTGCTCTCTTTCCCACCTTAGTCAGTTTACCCCTCCTTACACAGCCTGGTGCACTCCCCTCCCTATCCCAGGGGCTCAGCATATTGGTGAAGGACTTAGCTGACTGATTTAGGCCACTGCAACTCAGGACCATGAGCTCAAGTAATCCGTCAGCCTCACCCTCAACCTCCCCTGTAGCACCATCCCCTGTAGCACCATGCCCAGCTAGGGGGAATTATCTGAACAGAATCATACACCTGACGGTCAGATAAGTGCAGTGTATTATTTCTCCACAAACAACAGTCAAAGTAAAGGTTACAGCAGCATGTCACTCCTTACTTCCTAAATTCAGAAGTTTCTTCTGGCTGCATTTGGCTGTGCCTGGGAAACAGTCACAGGTTATGATTAGTGACAGTTTATTCTTTTAGCCTTCTGACAGCCAGCTGCCTCATCCACGATACTTGGAAAACCGTTCTGTTCAGAGAACAAATGTACCTGACAGAGTTCAACCTATGATAGATTCTCTTACAAGAATTGCCTTGGTTGGAGAAAGCTGCCTGTGTGGCAGGTTAGGCATTCATCTGACTGGCTGATTATGAGCACTACTATGTCCACTATGTCCCTCTACTTTGGGGGGTGGAAGGAACAGGTTATGCTACTGTCCTGGCCCTTTTTGCTTTTCTCTATTAAGCTCTATTCTGTTCTATATTTATTTGTGTCTGCCATTTATCTGCCTTTTAGACTACAAATGGCTTGGGAGTCAGAATTCTGTTATGTAATTATATATCATTTCTGGCAATCTCCTCAGTCAGCCTGCACACAGGGCATCTTCTTCATCTCCTTTTCCCTCCCCATCCCACCCCCCAACCTTGGGATCTGCCCTAAAGCGAGCTTTGAACTTGTCCAGACCAGGCCCCCTTACCACTTCCTTTCCAGATAATATTTGTAAAGGATTTTGCAAACCTTAAAGCTCTATATAAATGCTAGGTATTAATATTGTTAATATCTTTAGATATATTGGCTGGCAGCTACCACTTCCCCTTCCCCCTTTTCCAATTTTCCTTTCTGTGTTGTCTTCTCCTTGAGATCAAGGAGAAAACTCCTTGAGATCAAGGACTATCTAGCTGCCATTATCTATCTATCTATCTATCTATCTATCTATCTATCTATCTATCTATCTATCTATCTATCTATCTATCTGTCTGTCTATCTATCTGGGGAGGCAATTGGGTTAAGTGACTTGCCCAGGGTTACACAGCGAGTAAGTGTCTGAGGCTGGATTTAAACTCAGGTCCTCCTGACTCCATGCCTGGTGCTCTATCCACTGGGCCATCTAGCTGCCCCACTGCCATTGTTGTTATTATTATTATCATAATTGTCATTATTTTCACATCACACTGTCAGGTATATACCACTATTATCACCCCTTCCAATTTCTCTTTATATATTTTCTTCCCCCATTAGAGGGTAAGCTCCTTGAGGTCAGGGTAAATCTTAAAGTACTCTATTAATAAGTCTGCACTTAACCACTTTGTAACTTCATCAACTTGATTGCTTCTATCTGTGTTCTGTACAAAGTAAATGCTTAATAAATACTTTATCTCTCTCTGCACTCAGTACTGTGTTTCATATACAGAGCAGGCACTGGAAAATGTTTGCAAATTCTTGTTAAATATTTTAACTTTTGTAAACACTAGAGGACTGTAAGCTGAAGGAGCATTTCTCAAGAGCCAGAGAGAAATATTACAGGAACACATCCCTAAATTTTTAATACAAAACAATGGGCAGATCCATAAAGCTAAAAGCTGCTCTGACCGTTCAGGTTGCTGAGGGGTGGACATTGTCAAGGTGAACAATGAGTGAGATGACAGGAGTAGCCATGAAGGGCAGGGCTAGGATCACATGACCACGAAACCAGTGACAGTGGCAAACTGAGATAACTTTTTGTTCTGGGCTAAGACTGGATGTGAAGAAAAGTGTGTGAGAGAGAAGGGGAAAAATAGTAAATGGAATGGAGGTTGGAAAGGAGATTGAGTTCCCCATTTCTGGAAATGTTCATGCAAAGACTCAAAGACAATTTGTCAAGGATGTGGCTTAGGTAACCTCTAAGCTACTTTCAAGTCTGGAATTTTATGGTTCTGTGAAAAGGGGAAAGGTAATAGAGGGATAAAAACAAACAAACAAACAAACCAAAAACCATAAACCTTGCAGTTTAAAAGGAGGGACTAGTAAGCAAAAATCTTCTTTTTCTTATCAGGAAGATTTTAATTAAGTTGTTAACCTACATTTCTTCATCTGTAGACACTGAAGAGGACAAACCTTTCAGAACACTCTAATAGAAAAAGCACTGATCTGAGAAACAGACCTGGCTTCTTGTTCTCATTCTGCCACGGACCACCTGTGTATCCAGGGGAAAGTGATTTATCTTCTCTCTGTTTCAGTTTCTGTTACCTACGAAATAGTTTAAAGACTGATTGCCCTTCTAGATATAATAGGGAAGTCATGAGAATAAAATGGGATCTGCTTTGTAGGTGTCTTGTATACAGACATATGTGTACATATTATATGTATGTCTATATATACAATTTTGTATATATGCATACACTTATATCTGTATGTGTATACACACAATGCATGCATACAAAAATGCACAACTTGTCTCTCTCATCAGAATGTGAGGTCCTAGAGGACAGGTATTGTTTTTATTTTTTCTTTGTATCCCCAAACATTTGCTTATGCTGGATAAGAAGAATAAAAAGAAATCAATATTGGAAATAAGGTTATGGAACACAGCAGATTGTGGAAACCAAAGCAACACATCCAAACATAGGAATAACAGCTTTAAAGAAAGACATTAGCATCTCTGAAGAAGTCCTCAAGAGTTGCTCATTTCTTCTGGTCTTAAAGTACCATATTAATAAATAAGTCTACCCGTGACCATTTTGTAACTTCATCAATTTCCATTAAGTTCAGTGTAGATGTGTAGATGATTCTCAGATTGTTAAGTCTGGTGCCAGTCTCTTTCCTGAGCTCCAATCCCAAATCACCAACTGGACATTGGCCATTTAAAATGTGATTTCCTGTAGGCATCTCAAATTCAATATGTCCAATATAGAACTCATTATGCTTTGCCTAATATACACCCCTCTTATGAACTTTCCTATTACTGTTGGGAATACCACACATCCTTCTAGTAGCCCAAGTTTGCAATCTTGATGTCATCCTTAATGCCTCACATCCCCACGTAGCTAATGAGTTGTCAGATCTTGTCATTTCTATCTCTACAGTTCTTGCATATGTTCCCTTCTAGAGGCATCTAGGAGGTGGAATGGACAGAGCACTCGGCCTAGAGTTAGGAAGACCTGAGTTCAAATCCAATCTTAAATACCAGTTGTGTGATCCTAGTCAAATCATTTAACCTCTGCCTCAGTTTTTCTTAACTGTAAAATGGGGATCATAATAGCACCTATCTTAAAGGTTTGTGGTGAGGATGGAATGAGATAATATATGTAAAGTATATAAATATGTATATTTAGATACATAAATATGTGTAAAAATAATATATATAAAAATGTTAGCAGGAACAGACATGCTGTCATGCTATCACTGATACCTGATAGCCTTGTTGTTTTCATGACAGTGACTCCAAAGCTCTTTTTTGCGTGTTTGAGTACATACACACATATATATCATAGATACACCGAGTATTCCTAAATCTGAGGAGCAGAACTATTATTTCTTCTTCCATTCTTAATCCTCATATTTAAATTATTCCTTCAATTCTCTTCACCACTTCCATGACTTAAAGAGTTAAAACCTCTGACTTCCAAGTAAAGGTATGAACTTACGCAATCTTGGCACAGACGGTGCATTTCCAATTGCCATCGATGCCCACAATCCGACACTCACTGCAAACTCGGAGGGTACATGCTTGGCACACATTCCCCCGGTCAAAAATCAAGCCCAAATTTTTCTGACATCGAACACAAGTCCTGCCGCCATCTTGCTGCCTCTTCCCACCTTTCCGTTTTGCTTCTAAAAGCTCATTTTTCAGCTTCCTAGAAAGAGAAAGAAGAATTTTTCATCAAAGTTAGCTTGAATTAATAAAAATCTTCATTCATTACTTTTAAGAAAACAAATAAGGAAAAGGACCAAATCCAATACACTCAGCACTAATAAGAAAATCCACTTGCCCAAATTGATTCAAGAAGCTCCCAATACCAATTGTTAACTGAGAAAGTAAAATCTGCATTCTTCAAGCTTCCATGTAGTTCAGTCACTTAACAAAGGAGAAAACTGAGGGTCAGAGAAGTTAAGGGATTTGTCTGAAGTCACAAAGGAGGTGGCATAGCTAGGATTTAAACTCAGAGTCTATAACTCTCAATCTAGTGTTCTCTCCACTGCACCACAGTTCCTCTGGGGAAAACAAACAACCAAAAACTAAGGATCAGAGTGATTTACCCTGGGTCATAGAGTTAGAAGGACAATTGGCAAGATTTGGACCAAGGTCTTCCTGACAAATTCTAGTACCATTTACTACACCAGTAGTGTCAGACTCAAGTAAAAACTGATCCCTTCCAGCCCCATATCGACTCAGAAAACTACAAATTAGCATTATTCATGTTGTATTGTATTTTTGTCTTTTTTGTTAAACATTTCCCAATTATATTTTAATCTAGTTTGGGCAGACTGCTGAATTTAGCTGGTTTGTCACCTCTCTGCTACAACACATCTCAAATGAAGTAACTAATGTGCTTTATAGCTTTAAAGTACTATACAAATAAAAGCTAATATCACTGTCATTATATGATAAATATAACTCCTGTCCCCAGCCCATTGGTATGGGACTCTTTACTTATCGGTGAAGATGCATGCCCTGCCTTGCATAAGGGATATGGAGGAGTAGTCCAGAGGTGAGAGCTTCATTTCTCAGCCAGTCCTGTTCTGGACCCTTGGGGACTAGTCCAACTCTAAGTCTTCTTCAAGCATAGCTTTGAATCAGCTTCCAGCTTCCAGAGAGAAGACGGATGAGGCCAACCCTACCATATGCTGCTAAAAGAAAAGATTCTGGGAAGACATGAGAGGAACTGGTAGTCTCCATCATATCTTTATTCCCAGCTTGTTTCATTAGAGACTTCAGGGAGTTTTCTCCTTAGGGTGATAGCTAAGACACTCTCTCTTGGTTGAGATGAGTTATCTCATTCCCAGTAGGACAGCTCCTTCACTCTGTATTGTCTAATATACATTCTCCTATGTATACATTCACCGCTTTCTGTTTTGCTATGATTTTGGATAAATGGTCTTCTTAGCAATTTGTTACGTGTGTTCATTATGGAACTACCATTAGGTGGGAAAGGTGTTGAGCCTTGGATATAAAGCTTTTCCCCCTTTTCTCCCCAAAATGACAAAGAGATCAAAAGTTAGATGGAACCTGATCATATCCCCTAGATGAAAAATATTTAAAAGAGCAGATATCTTTTAGCCCAGTAACCCCTCTCAATGAGGAGAGCAGAGTGGCCTCTGGCCCTAATTTCCTGCTTCCTCTCTTGGCAGAAATGAAAATCTCCCTTGGAGAAAGGTGGAGGGAAAAGAGGCTAGAGATGTCCATTCTGCCTCCCTTTGAACTCACATAAAGGGAAGCCCTCACCAGAGGGTCCCACACATGTGGGACATTCTCTATTGCTACATAAATAATATAAATCATTTATAATATAATTTATGATATATAATGGGACAGCCAGGTGGCACGGTAGATAAAGCACCGGGCCTGAAGTCAGGAAGACTCATCTTCCTGAGTTCAAATCTGGCCTTAGACACTTATTAACTGTGATCCTGGGCAAGTCACTTAACCCTGTTTGTTTTAGTTTCCTCATCTATAAAATAGGCTGGAGAAAGAAATGGCAAACCACTCCAGTATCTTTGCCAAGAAAACCCCAAATGGGATCATGAAGAGTCAGACATGACTGAAATGACTCAACAACAATATGATACAAAAAATTAGTATCGCTGATTTATATCTGTTTAATTTCTCTAGAATATCACATTTTAGGGTACTACCTTCTAACTCAGCTGCATTCCCCAGTCTTGGGGCAAGTACAAAAAGCCTGTTTCATGAGTTCTGCTGGGTCTTCTTTACCTAGGTGACGGCAACAAACGTGAACCCAAACTGTACCAGTGGTCCTTTACTGTAGAGGTCCAACACCAGCTATGACTACAGAAATAAGAGGTTTTAAAATGACCTAAAGACATCCGAAGAGATCTAAATTCCTTTGGCTAATATGCAGGGCTGTTCATCAGCTGTTCTGTTCAACCTTTCCAAGTTCATTACAGTCAGGGAGGCAAGCTAATCAGTTTATCAATTCCTTGCACCAGAATGACTCATTCCCATCATGCATCTACATTATCTACCATTCCTCCCTGTCTCCCTGCCAATTCATCTCCACCACTTATTTCAGTACCCTAATCAAGACTTATTGACTGCAGAAAACCTTCCCTCATTCCCTTTCAAATCCACAATTCACTTTTGTACTCCATTTATAGCTATATTGCTTAGTATCATTCTGTGTATATTTGCTCTTTTTCACATTCTCTCTCTCTCTATCTCTCTCTCTGTCTCTGTCTCTCTCTCTCTTTTTCTCTCTGTCTCTCTCTCTCCCTATCTCTCACCCTTCCCTCCCTTCCCCTTTCTCTGTTTTTCTCCACTCTTCTCTCTCTCTCTATTTTTGTCTGTCTCTCTGTCTCTCTTTTTCTCTCTCCTCTCTTTTCCTGTCTCTCATCCCTCCCTCCCTCCCCTCTCTGTCTCTCTGTCTCTGTCTCTCTCCTGTCTTTCCTCTTCTTCCTCCTCTCCTCTCCTCTCCAAAATTAATATAACACCATGCTCACTGTCAAACTAACATTACATATACATATACATGACCTCATTTTATCTTTCCAATAAGCCTGTGAGGTAAGCAGGGTATGAGGTATTATTCCGATTTTAAAGGTGAAAAAACTCGAGCCCAATAACTTGGCCAATGTCACACAGCGACACGATGACAGGATTGAGACCAGTATCTCTGTGTGCTGACTACAAGCACATGGAATGTCCTCTGTGTGGAGAAAAAGGCAGAAGATTCTCCAAAAAATGTAAAAGTTTAATCATGACAAACTTTTGTCCAGAAACTACTATTTGTGGAATACAATTTTAGTTATCAGGAGAGATACAACATAAATGAAACACCATGCTTTGTTGTGGGGACTTGCCCAGGGTCACACAACTAATAAGTGTGTGAGGCTGGATTTGAACTCAGGAAGTTCAGTTTTCCTGACTCCAGACTCAGAACTCTTATCTCCTGCACCACCTAGCTACCTGACACCATGCCTATTTACTCTAATATGGATATGGTAGTATGGAACATACACAAATGTAATGTAAGCATACACTCTATGATGTTGCCCTGAGCAACCTCATTTCATAGTGATACAGTAGGGAATATTAGAGTCAAATCTCACTATAATGTCTTGAAAGTATAGCTGTGATGCCTTTGCACAGATCTGTGATCATGGAAGCTCTGATTCTTCCCATACCACAAGTTCTGTAAGACAATAGGTGTAGCCAACTAGATTGTGAGCTCCTTGAAGGCAGGTATTGTCTTTTGCTTTTTTAAATTTTTTGTATCCCTAGCATTTAGCACAGTACCAAGCACACAACAGGCACTGAATAAATGCTCATTGACTACTGATTGTTCAAGCATTTATTAAGTGCTTACTGTGTGCCTGGCACTGTGCTAACTCCCTGCTGTAGCTGTCTCTATCTCCTCACATTCAACTTTATAAGCTAACCATTGCCCAGACTTGTTGGCCCTGGCCTTGATTCCATTTAATTTGATACTGTACTTCTCATCCCCAATCCCCTTCCCTTTCTCTGGCTCCAACCAGCTTGGCTTTGTTCTTGCCAACTCAACACTCACTGATCCAGTCAATTTTATTCCTGTGGAACTGTCCCCTGTAACAGTATTTTAAGTAAAATGCCTTTGTGGAGCAAATTCATGATGTGAAGCAAGGTTTACCAGTAATGCAAAATGGAATATGATATGTATATGAGAGAAAATACAAAATACTATGCCTGTCTCATTTCTGACTGGAGGCAAGGTTTCATGCTACAGATTATATCTGATCTGGCTCCTGAAGAATGTGGTGGATTTGGACAGTGGAAATTTGGGGTGCTAGTATTTCAGTCCTGAGTAATGGTGTGAGCAAAGGCATTGAGACAAAATGACATAGGACATATTCAAGTTTGGCTGAGAGAAGGCTAGAAAGGTGAAGGGGGCCAATTTGTTGAGAGTCTTGAATATGAGGCTAAGGATTTTGTACTTTATTCAGTAGTTTATTAGCAGCCATTGAAAGGCTTTGAGCATGAAAGTTTGACATGATCAGATTTGTATAAAGGCAAGATTAATTTGGAATTGTTTTGAAGGATGACTTAAAGAGGAGAGAAACTGGAAACCCCAGGGGAAAAAAATAATAAAGCAAGTGTTCCTAGCCCTGAAATGCAATTATATAGACTAAAAGAGACCAATATTTCATCTGTGTTTTTCTGTTCAAAAGACCTATATGACTCTCATGGTATCATCCAAGAAAAACCTTGTGAAATCCCCTCTGGACATTTATAAAATGCTACAGATTTTAAAATAATGAAATGAGTTCATGTGCTAAGAACACTATTATACTGCTTTAGAGATCTCAGCCCATGTTTAAGCGTCTCAAGACACAAGTATAAAAAAATAGCATTTGTTCAAATATCTATAACAACCTGTAACAGAGGAATAAAAAAATAGAAGTGAGGATCATAAAGTATCCTAAAAGATGATAAACAGGCAGGATATGAAATGGGTAAGAAGGGAATTCCAGACGCAAACTCTTCATGAAAAAAATCCTGCTTTTGGGTTCTAGAAATACATATGAAGGAAAGCAGATATTCAATTTTTCAGTACTATCTTCTGTTTTCTCAGGTAGAGGTGCTGGATCTGTTCTGACAAATTAAAAGCAATTTTGCCAGGCTTTCATATTAAACTATTTT